GTTTTATGTACACACGTTAAATTGTGTAAATGAAAACCTCCAGGATAAGTTCCTTTACCAGGGAGTAAAGCAGATTGTGCTTGCTGGGAACTACCAAGTGAATAAATCTTTCAAGAAGAGATTGGTCTGCCATTTGTCAGAAATGATGTAGGGTCTCCCACTTGGGCAGGGGGTTGGACTAGATGACCTACAAGATCCCTTCCAACTCTGATTATCTGTTATCTGTTAATCAAACATTGGAATATTTCTCTATTCTTCAAAAATATATTCTCCAAGATTGAGAAGCTCCAAAATCTTAACACATCTTAACAAATTATCCAGCCCTGTAGAGACATGCTACTGGCAGCAGGATGGAGAAGTTAAGGTATGTTGGGCAGATCAATCACACAAACATGCGTGGCCTTGCTTGATTTAGAAATACAGAAGAATTTCTCAATAAACTTTTATATCTGTTTTCCATACTTAAACATCTCCCTTTCAACAGCCAAGAGCCTCTTCCAGCTCATAGCAAAGTGCCATAGAAAAGAATAAGAGAATAACAAATTTGGAAGGGATCTTTTATGGTCACTACACGATAAAAAAGATGTTGAGAGACTCTAGAAAGGGTTCGGAGAAGAGCAACCTTCCAGCAGTGTGCAGCAGCAGCAGCCAAAAAAGCCAATGCAATCCTAAATTGCATTAACAGAGGGATACAATCGAGATCAAGGGAAGTACTAATACCACTCTATAAAGCCTTAAGAAGACCACACCTAGAGTACTGCATCCAGTTTTGTTCACCACATTATAAAAAAGATGTGGAGACTCTAGAAAAAGTGCAGAGAAGAACAATCAGGATGATTAGGGAACTGGAGACTAAAACATGAAGAACAGTTACAGGAACTGGGCCTGGCTAGTCTAGTGAAGAGAAGGACCAGGGGAGACAGGGAAGCAATCTTCCAATATTTGAGGGGTGCCACAGAGAGGAGGGGGTCAAGCTATTTTCTAAAGCATCTGAAGGCCAGACAAGGAATAATAGATGGAAACCGAACAAGGAGAGATTCAACCTGGAACTAAGGAGAAATTTTCTGACAGTGAGAACAATCAACACATGGAACAGACGTTGCGGGAGCTTCATCCCTGGAGGCTTTCAAGAAGAGATTGGACTGCCATTTGTCAGAAATGCTGCAGGGCCTGCTGGACTGGAGGTTGGAGTAGATGACCTATAAGGTCCCTTCCAACTCTGTAACCCGCTGCTCAAGCAGGAGACTATACCATTCTGAGCAACATTTGTGCCAAAGTTCTCATTTTGCACTGGAAAAAAGGGCCACTTCCCAAGTCTTGTTTCTTAGTGCTGTGCTAGACTGTCTTTGTAGCCACACTTAACACTAACTTCAGCCCCGGGGAATTCTGGAGAACTGTCCATCTGGTAAAAGGGTGAATTACTGAGCAATGGTTTTGCTAAAAGATGCTTTCTGGGTATGAAACCTGCAAAGAAATATTGTCAATAAAGAAGATATACAATAAAGTAAGCATTGCAGGAAGAGAGATAGTCCTCAAGTGATTCCTTTCTTTTGCTATCTTTTTCGGCTGCCATAGTAATGGGGGAAGGGTGAATCAATTGGGCTTTGTGGAGATGGGAAATGTGCTGGAGGTTTTAGAGAATGAACTCTATAACTTGAGGAAAACTTTACTGTTTATGCTTATTTGCCTGCTTACTGCACAACCGCAGCTCTTTATCAAACTAGGCCAAGGTTAATGGCCAGATGTCTGCATCAGCACCTGAAGATGCCCCACATGACATGATACACATCTTCGATTGGATGGATTGTTTGAATTATTATGAGTGGGAACGTTGCCATCACTTTGTATATGTAATTTCTGCGCATCAGTTCTCAGATCTAGAATTCTTTTGATGCTACCACTTGATTTCTGGTAAAAGTTTCTTTTCTCTATAACAATGGAGTCTAAGAGTGTCTTTCTTGGATTTTGAATGGAGCACCATCAGACATCAAGTTATGACCACAACTGAACCCAACTTTTCTGTTTGTTAAGGATTACAGTTAAGGGAGCTATGCCCCCCACCCCATTTTATGACCTTTTAATTATTATTATTATTTATTTAGTCAAAAGCTTACAATACAATAGAAATAAGAATAAACATAAGTTTAAATATAAGAAATAGGAAGTAATAATTGGGGACAATAGGACAGGGATGGTAGGCACGATGGTGTGCTTATACATGCCCCTTACAGACCTTTTAGGAATGGGGTGAGGCCGATAGAGGTTAGTTTGAGGGTAAAGGAGTGGGGGATTAGTTAGAGAATGTAACCATAGAGTCAGGTAGTGCATTACAGGCATTGACCACTCTGTTGCTGAAATCGTAACTTCCTGCAATCAAGTTTGGAGTGGTTTACATTAAGTTTATTTCTGTTGTGTGCTCGTGTTGATATGGTTAAAGCTGAAATATTCATTAACTGGTAAGATGTTGTAACATATGATTTTAAGTACTATGTTTAAGTCCAATCTTAGCCGGCGTAGTTCAAGGTTGTCTAAGCCTAGAATCTCAAGTCTGGTGGTGTAGGGTATTCTGTTGCGAGCAGAGGAATGTAGTACTCTTCTGGTAAAATACTTCTGGACTCGCTCAATTGTACTGATGTCTGATATACAGTGCAGACACCAGACAGCAGAGCTGAATTCAAGTATTGGTCTAACAAAGGTTTTGAATGCCCTAGTTTGCAAATCAGTATTACTAGAGGAGAAGCTTCGTAAAATTAAATTTGCAACTCTTAAAGCCTTTTTGGCAATGCTGTTGCAGTGAGCTTTGCTACTTAGGTCATTCGACATGAGAACTCCAAGGTCCTTGACAGAGTGAGGGTCATCAACAAGGTCATATCTGCCTAGCTTGTATTTGGTATATATATATATATTTTTGCGGTCATTCAGTTAATAACGCAATTATTAAGTGGGGAATCTGGCTTCCCCATTGAACTTTGCTTCTCAGAAGGTCGTAAAAGGGGACCATGTGACACTGGGAGGCTGCTACCATCATAAACTATGAGTCAGTTGCCAAGCATTCGAATATAAATCCTGTGACCTTGGGGAATACTGCAATGTATGAAAAATGGTCACAAGCCCCTTTTTTCAATGCTGTTGTAACTTTGAACGGTCATTAAACGAACTGTTGTTAAGTCAAGGACTACTTGTAGATTATGGTAATTTTTTTAAAAAAGGAGTTTGGTTCCACTTTCTCTGCCCACCTGGCCAATTTTATTTAAAGCTCGTCAGGGATTACGAGCGATGAAGTAGCATAATCTGGCTCAGCATCCTCAATGTTGCAAAAGATGGATGTTTATCCAGGTAAAACTCCTGCCAAGCACAGCCAGCCTTCCTGACCAGGGGTGGGATTCAAATTTTTTAACAACTGGTTTTGTCGGCATGGCTTAGTTGGTGGGCGTGGCTTGGTGGTCATGTGACTGGGTGGATGTGGCTTGGTGGTCATGTTATTGGCTGGGTGTGTGGCCAACTCAACATCACTCACATCGAGGCACATCTCGTTGTCTGGCCTCTCATGACTGTGGAGATGCTGCAACAGTCATAAGTGTGAAAAAGGGTCATAAGTCACTTTTTTCAGTGCCATTGTAACTTTGAATGGTCACTCCACACAACCAAAGTACCAGCAAAGGAGGGAAAAAAACTCCATAGAAGTTCCTGAGACAGGAAGTCCAGTCCTGCCAAGAATGTAATAAGGGTTAACGGAGAGGCAGTTTCTGTAAGCAACCCCAGAATGTTTCCTTTCTGCCTTCCTTACAGGATTAGGCCAGTAATTTCTTCTAACAACTGATTCTCCGAACTGCTTAGAATGTTAACAACTGGTTCTAGCAAATAGGTGCGAACTGGTAGAATCCCACCCCTGGTCCTGACCCTCCCAAAGAAATCTGTTGCTGGATCTCATTGTCACAAGGATTAGACTTAGACTTTTAGAATAACTTTATTATCACTTTAAAATGTACACTAATTGCCAGACATTAAAAATGAAATTTTGTAGCAGACAGCAGCTGTCAAAAGGATGGATTCGGTGTCAATCTAGAGCAGCCTTTTGCATGCCCACTTCCACCCAATATAGAATAGAATAGAAACAGAATTAAAATTAGAATAGAATAGAATTAGAATAAAATAGAATTAGAAGAGAATAGAATTAGAAGAGAATAGAATTAGAATAGAATAGAATAAGAATTAGAATAGAATAGAATAAGAATTAGAATAGAATAGAATTAGAAGAGGAGAGAATTGGAATAGAATAAAAATAGAATAGAAATAATAGAATAGAATAACAGAATTGGGAGGGGCCTTGGACCTCATCAAATTTAGATTTCACCTGATTATGGAGTTCAAGGTGGCATACACAAAACCTTTGCCTGTCTATATTAATAATCTGTAAAGTATCTTGCACTGAAAGAGAATTAGAATTTAGAATAGGGAATTGAATGAGAATAGCATAATAGAATAGAACAGAAAACAGAATTAGAATAGAATTAGAATAGAAAATAGAATAGAATGAACAGAATAGAATAGAATAACAGAGTTGGAAGGGACCTTAGAGGTCTTCTAGTGCAACCCCTGCTTAGGCAGGAAACCCTACACCAGATCAGATCAGACAAAGGGTTATCCAACATCCAACATATCCCCCTTCCCAGTTAAAAGAAGCTCTAACGCCGCCCCACTCCCGCAAAAGCCTCCAAATACTCCTCTATTTCTTTCAGCCGAGCGCTCAAAACAGAAAAATAGGGAGAAAAATGCAAAATGTTGCTTCGAGGGCTGCCGCCCTCATCCCAGGGCGGACTACAATTCCCGGCAGTCTTTGCTCCCGGGCTTGCGCGGCCCCGCCCACCACGTCTGCGAGGCCCGACTTTCGGGCTGGCGGAGCGGTGAGGCGGAGCGGTGGGCGGGGGCTCCCCGGGGAGTGGGCGGGGCCAAGAGCTTTCCCCGGGGACCTGGGGCGAGCTGCAGCGGCGGCGGCTAGTTTGGCGCTTTCAGGCCGAGCGGAGGCGGCGCAGGTGAGCAACGCGTGGCTCGGCCGGGCTTGGAGCGTGCGGGGCAAGGCAGGGCAGAGCAGCCGGCCGCTTTCTCTTCCTCGGCTGGGGCGCGGGGACGGCTTTGGGGCGGCGGGATGCCTTTGCTAGTAAGGCAAGCAAGGTCGGGCTGGCTTCATCCCTGCCTAGCAAAGGAAAGGGCCGGAGGGAGCTCGGCTTCTTCTCCCCCTTTGCAACGAGAAGCCCCCAGAATTGCAAATAAATAAATAAATAAATTCAAAAATATTGCAAAAAATTTGCAAGAAAATTGCAAATAATAATAATAATCAGGCGCACCGGCGTTGGGTTCAGACGAGCATCCATGGGATCCCCCCGCCGGAGGACTTGAAATTCAAGGGTAATTTTAGACCACCCGAGTCCTGAGGTTGTGGGGGGGCAAAGGATTTTTCCAAGACGTGATTGCACCCGGGGAGTGGGGCGGAACCCGGTCTTGTGAACCCTCTGCTGGAGATGCGTGTTGGAGAGTTGTGTGAAAGTGTGTCCTGACCGATTGAAGGAACCCCGGCTTCGTTGGAGGGCAGCTGCAAGCCGGGGAAAGGGAAGGATTTCAGAGGTATCTTAATCTTTAGGGTGCCCTGGTGTCCCTTCAGACGTTGGAGGGAAACACGTCTTAATTCGGTTCACGTTTGAGCCACTTGGATCATTCAGGGGGGATATGGGGTTCTTGAAGATTTGTCCCCAAATCAAACTAATATTGGGGGTGGGAGATATTTTGTTATTTTAATACAGGAAGGAGTTTTTCTTCTTCTTTCATTAAAGATGGATGATGGACAAAAATATTTTTTTTTTCGTACCAAAGTTTTACGAACTTCAGGGATGGGGCTGCATTATGAAACTAAATTATGAATTGTAGGAAGAGCTAGACAAGAAATTTGCCACCTTCCCGTGCCTTCTTACAGTAATCCTTGTGAGATGGATTAGTTTAAGCTTTTGACAAACTTGGTTTCTGAAAGGGTTTTTTTTTTCTACAACCGTGGTATTTGGATCTGGGTTTAATTGGTTGGCCTGTTTTATTTTGACCCCCCTTTTTTAAAAAAATGTTTTTTTCTTAAGTCCGTGGCTGGATTTTTCTATAAGTTTTGCTGGTCACCTGATTTCCCTCCATCTCCCTTCCCTTTAACTGTTTAAAACTACTTTTTTTTCCCCCTCCGTCCTTCCTTTCTTGCATCACTCATTTGCTTCATCATGCTTTTTTATCAGTAGGATATGTTTTACATAATGTGCCCAAACAAATTGAATGCGGTGGAGAATCAGATGACTAAAGTACTTTAATTACACAGGAAAAGATTGCAATTAAACCATTTGCTTGAGTTAGGGAACCACACCGGGAGTTGTGTGTTTATGGCCACAATTAAGCTGGGCTGGTATGACACACAGGTAGGAGTTGGGGAGTTGCACATCCTTCTATCCCACAGTTCAGTGTACAGGTAGTCCTCGAGTTACACAACACTTCATTTAGTGACCGTTTGAAGTTCCGTCACTGAAAAAACCTCACTTGTGACTGTTTTTTCACACAAGCGTTACAGCAGTGATGGCTAACCTTTATGTTGGCACAAAAGTGCCAACAGTGTGTACGTGCTTGCACACGCATAATGAAATGCATGCACGACCCCCTCCCACTTGCCCTACTCCCCTGCACATGCGCATGCGCCCCCCCTCTGCTTTCCCCATGCATGCACCTTTTGTGCTCCCACCACCACCCTGCGCATGTGGGTATGACCCCCCCCTGCACCCCGTTTTGGGCCTAGTAGGCCTCCCTGCAGCCTCCTGGGAGCCAAAACGGGCGGGGGGGCACACCACATACACCCCATGCCTCGTTTTGGGCCTAATAGGCCTCCCTGCAGCTTCCTGGAAGTAAAAACAGGGAGGGTGGGGGGGCACACCACACACCCCTGCACTCCCCCCACCCTCTACACATGCGCATATGACCCTCCTGTGCTCCCCCCGCGCATGCGTGGCAGAGACTGGAAAATCAGCTGGCTGGCGGGAGGCATTTGCGATGGAGCTGACCCAGGGTGATGACTTGCGTGTCCACATAGAGGGCTCTGTGTGCCACCTGTGGTTTGCGTGCCATAGGTTCGTCATCATGATGTTATAATATCCCGATGGTCATGTGATCAAAATTCAGGCCCGTGGCAGCCGACTTGTACTTACGACGGCTGCAGGGTCCCTGGGGTCATGGGATCGATCCCCTTTTGCGACCTTCTGACAAGCAGAATCCAGGGGAATCCAGATTCGCTTTAACCACCCAGTTACTCATTTAACAGTGGCAGTGATTCGCTTCACAGCGGTGGCGAGAAAGGTTGCAAAACGGGGCAAAACTCACTTAACCAATGTCTCACTTAACAGCTTACATTTGGGACTCAATTGTGGAGGATTGTATTGCGTAAACTCAGAAATGTGGGACAGTTAGGAAACCCTCGTTTATTAGGTATAAATTAGACGTGTCTCCCCATGCAATGAATAAAATCCAGGGTGAATTAACAAACAGGAATTCCAAACTGGTTTGTTCCTCATAATTTCCTAAATCCCATCATTGCTTCCAATCCAGCAGTTGGTTTGCAAATCTTTCTTTTTTACTTCTTTTATTTTATTTTTTTCTTCTACCAATCAACTTTTTCTAGCAACGATGCTCCTGGTTTTTTTTTTTGTTTTTTTTTGTTTTTACTCCTACATTTGGACACTTTCATTGTACCGACAGTCCTCACCTTACGACTGCAGACACGACCAGATTTTTACATTACTGAGCGAGGTTAAGTGACTATGCCTGTTTTTTTAAAAACAAAACAAAACGTGGGTGTTGAGAAAATCATGCAGTCGTTAAGTGGATCGTGCAGCCACTAAGCAGATCCAGCTCCCCCCCCCCCCCCCCTGGCATTGCTTGTTCACAAGCCTGCTTGGGAAGATCACAAATGACAATCACGCTGCCCCCATTGTAAATACATGCGGATTTGCCAAGTTCCTGAATTTTGACCCCATGACTCTGGGCATGCTGTGACACATAAGGGCAACAACTGGTCATAAGTCACTTTTTGCCAGTGCTGTTGTAGCATGGCTGGCTGGGGAATTCTGGGAGTTGAAGTCCACAGGTCTTAAAGTTGCCAAGGAGGTCCACAGCTGCCACTTCGTTTTGTCATTTTGACTCTTTTTAATGATTGCTTTCAATTTGCGAGTGGGGCAGTTGTGCAAGAATTTTTTTTTTTAAAGTACAAAAAATGTGGGGGAAAGGAAATAAAAAAGTAATCGGTTGGGGCAGTTAAAAGGTTGAAAAGAACATAAAAAGATGTTCAAAGCAGTTTGGTCTAATGGTGAAAGCCCCAGACTAGAAAGTGGGAGGACATGTGTTCAAGTCTTCCCTTAGCCATGAAAACTGGCTGGATGACTTTGGACCAGTCACCAGGAGATGGTTAGTTCTATTCCATAATGCCCAATTCCCCATAGATTTGGTGCATTTTAAAAAAAATGTCTGGTGTTATTTTAATGATTTTAGCACAAACTTGCTTGTCGAAAATGTTCTTTGCTTAAAAAACATTCAGCTCCCTGAAGAGTGAGGGGAAACTGCATGAAATTCAGTTTTTTTAGAGATTCATCTGCATACTTTCTATTTTCCTTGAAGATCACAATTTCATTTCATGTGAGCACGTTGTGAACTCACAGGTGGTAATGGCACTTAAGGGCTATTTATTGTTGACTTTTAGTATACATGCTGTTACTTGTGTTCTCTCTCATACATCTCAGTGAACCAATCTCTGATCCCATTTAGCAAACCAGATGTTGGCATTGATGGCTCAACTTTAGGTAAGCATGATGGGGCAAGACAATTCTTGCCAGTTGGCGTGTTGGGTAGGTGGGGAGGCAAGTTTGAGATAATATCCAGGCTCCAGGGCATGAATGTACTGCCTGGTGAACCTCCATGGATTTGAGTATCACTATACTATCGATGTAGGGACACAGTGGCTCAGTGGCTAAGAAGCTGAGCTTGTCGATCAGAAAGTTCGGTGGTTTGAATCCCTAGCACCGTGTAACAGAGTGAGCTCCCGTTACTTGTCCCAGCTTCTGCCAACCTAGCAATTTGAAAGCCTGTAAAAATGCAAGTAGAAAAATAGGGAACACTTTGGTAGGAAGGTCACAGTGCTCCATGCGCCTTTGGCGTTTAGTCATGCCAGCCACATGACCACAGAGATGTCTTCGGACAGTGCTGGCTCTTTGGGTTTGTAACAGAGATGAGCACCACCCCCTAGAGCCAGAAATGACTAGCACGTATGTGCGAGGGTAACCTTTACCTTTAATTGCTCTGGAGGACATCAAATACAGGTGAAGGAACTTACAGGTAGCCTTTGACTTAATGCAGTTTGTTTAATGACTGTTTGAAACTATAACAATGCTGGAAAAAAAGAATGACTGTGGAGCAATCTTTGCACTGATGACTGTTTGGCTGTTTGGTAACAGCCACACATTTTTAACAATCAAGTGATCATCATTTGTGACCTTCCCAGCCCAGCTTCTGACAAGCAGAGTCAATGAGGAAGGCCACCAGAGAAGATTGCAAATCAAACCATGCGGTGTCTTCCTTAATAACTATCACGACAAAATTTTGGTGGGGTCACATGTTGCCTCATTTAATGACCATACGCCTTAATGATGATTCCCCCCCCCCATTGTGGTCGTGAGTTAGTGTTGATATACACTGTAATTGAATGTAAATGAAATGAAGTTCAAATTACTAGAAGAAAAGGAGAACTTTTATGACTGTGAGAACAATTAATCAATGGAAGAAGTTGCCTTCAAAGGTTATAGATGCTCCCATCCCTGGAGGTTTTCAAAAATAGACTGGACAACCATTTGACCGGGCTGGTATAAGATCTCCTGCCTTGAGAAGGGGGTTGGACTAAAAGACCTACAACAGAGGTCTCCAAGCTTGGCAACTTTAACAGAATTCTGGGAGTTGAAGTCCACAAGTCTTAAAATTGCCAAGTTTGGGACCCCTGACCTACAACGTCCCTTCTAGGCCTTTGCTTCTATGTTCTATGTAAATGGAACAATCCTATTGATAGGAGCAGTATTTTGTTATTGTTCCGTCACTAAGTTGTGTCCGACTCTTCGTGACCCCTTGTACCATACCATTCCCTTTATCCTCCATGGTCTCCTGGAGTTTGTCCAAATTCATGTCCTTTTCGTCAATGACCTTATCTAACCATTTCCTCCTCTGCTGTCCCCTTCTCCTTTGGCCTTCCGTCTCTCCCGACATCAGGGTCTTCTCCAAGACGTCCTCTCTTCTCGTTTGGTGGCCCAAAATCTTTGAATTTCAGGATCTGTCCTTCCAAAGGACAGTCAGAGTTGATTTCCTTCAGGATTGGCTTGATTGGGTCTCCTTGTCATCCAAGGGACCAGGGGTGGGCTTCAAAAATGTTTAGCATCGGGTTCTTTGCCTGGTTGCTAGGTGGGCGTGGCCATGGTGGGCGTGACTTAGTCAGCCTCCTGCACCACGGTGGGGGTGTCATTTTTGCCCCCCCTCCCGGGCTCTGGAGGCTTTTCTTGAGTCTCCAGGAGGGCAAAAACGGCCTCCCCAGGCTCTGGAGGCTCTCTGGAAGCCATTTCCAGCCTTTCCAAACTTCTGGGAGGCCCGTTTTTCGCCCTCCCTGAACGTCCAGGCGCGCCCTGCACTTACCTGCATCCAAAACGGGCCGTGTGCTGACCCCTGGGAGTAGCGGGGTGTGGTGGGCAGGGCCAGCCAGGAGTGGGATTTGGCGGTTCTCCAAACTGCACAGAATCTTAACTAGGGGGCTCTCCCGAACCCCTGCAAACCCCCAATAGCCCACCCCTGCAAGGGACTCTCAAGCGTCTTCCCCAACACCACAGTTAGGATCAGTACATATAATTATGTCAGGTCGCCTTAGGTCCTTCTCTGTGTGATAGGAGAAGGACTTACCTATATTGTATACAAAGTGGGATTTCAAAAGTATATTCTGGATCACATTCTGGTGCCTTTGAATATATTGGACTTAACCTTGTTTGATCTTGCCAACAGTTTAGCTTTTTGGCCCATCCGCTGAAGCTTAATGGAAGTGAAGTCTAACACATCCGAATGACTTCAGGTTGGGTGGAGAGTAACTCCTCTCTATCAATATTAACCGTAGCAAGCTACAATTTCTCTAAAGATGACCCATTTTCCTCCAGAGAAAACATGGCCGCCTCAGCCACAGAAATATTGGTTCTTCTCTTGCCTTCTCTTGTCATTGGCAAGTCCTAGGTAACACAACTTCAATCCCACCTTTAAATCTACATTGACTTTGGGGCGGTAAGGATTTCACTGAAAAGTTCTCCTGCTTTGTGGGAGCTGCCAAATGAAATAGGTTAGCCTAAAAAAAAGTTTTGATTAGGCCTGAAGAACCTTTTATACGGCCTAAGGAACATTTGGTGTTTCTAGAAACAACATGGGGTAAAAAAAAAAACGGGTGGATAAATTAAATTACACTTTCCTAGAGGAAAACAAGCTGGCCAGTTTCAGGAAGAACCAAAGCCGCTGGTTATCTAAATGAATCATGGAACATTTGGGTGGATTGCAGAATATTCAATGTTTAATGAAGCATGTGATTCAAAACAAAGGATATTGATGACCTTTTCGTCGTCGTTTGCCCAGAATAAACATCCATCCTATTGATAACATACTGGGACTCCCGGGAACAAACGTTTAATGAAAATACATTTTTATGAATGAACTATTCTCCAAAGCACCAGAGGCGAGGGACAAGAGGTTATGAATGGAAGCTTATCAAGGAGAGATCCAACCTTGAACTAAGGAGAAATGTTCTGACAGCGAGAACAATTAATCAGTATGGAATGCTTTGCCTTCAGAAGTTGTGGATTCTTCATCACTGGAGTTTCAAAGGAGCTTTTTTTGAAAAGGGCAACTAGACTTCCTTTGTGTTCCCTTGAAGACGTTTCGCTTCTCCTCCAAGAAGTAGTTCATCAGTTCCTAATGCCCGTTTCCAAACCGATGAAGCTTCTTGGATGAGAAGCGAAATGTCTTCAAGAAAAACAAAGTACAGTTGAAAAAAGAGCATCTTTGGGGAAACCACGGCCTGGATGACTGAGAATCTCCATCATTGGAAGTTTTTGAGACTGTACAGCCATGTAGAATAGAATAGAATTGGAATTGGAATAGAATAGGAATAGAACAGAGAATAGAATAGAATAGAATAGAGGACAGAATAGAAATAGGGTAGAACAGAACAGAACAGAATAGAATAGAATTCTTTATTGGCCAAGTGTGATTGGACACACAAGGAATCTAGTGCATATGCTCTCAGTGTACATAAGAAAAAATAAAATAATACATTCATCAAGAATCATAAGACATAACACTTAGTGGTAATCATAGGTTACTAATAAGCAATCAAATCATACTAGGAAACAAATAAAACAATATAAATTGTAAAGATACAAGCAGCACAGTTATAATCATAAGTGGGAAGAGATAGGTAATAGGAGGGATGAGAAGGATAATAGTAATACAGTCTTAATAAGTAGTTTGACAGTGTTGAGGGAATTATTTGTTTAGCAGAGGGATGGCATTCGGGGGAAAACTGTCTTTGTGGCTAGTTGTTCTGGTGTGCAGTGCTCTATAGTGTCATTTTGAGGGAAGGAGTTGAAACGGTTTATGTCCGGGATGTGAGGGGTCTGTAAATATTTCACAGCCCTCTTTTTGACTCAGGGTGCAGTATATAGGTCCTCCATGGAAGGCAGGTTGGTAGCAATGTGATATTCAAAAGCAATCTTTTTGTGTTCTCTGTTTGAAATGCTAGTGCTGAACCTGAGCAGTCACCAGTTTTCTGGTCAATAGAAGCAGTAAATCCTTTAAAAGCAAACTTTGATTGGCTGGGATGAAGAGCCTTTATCTGACGGATAAGGAATGGCATAAAGAAAGACTCTGTATTGCCATTCTTTGTGTGTTTCTGCGATACCCTAAGTTTTTATCATTCAGGTTTTCCTTTTGGCACGCAGAGAAACTTGAAATTCAGAGCAGCTTTGCAGGGAGTCCTCGGCTTACGACCACAATGGAGCTCAAAAGTTCTGTTGCTAAGTGAGGCAGCTGTTAAAGTGGCTGTTTGCCCCATTTCACAACTTTTCTGTCCACGGTTCAATGCATCCCTTCAGTTGTTAAGCTAGTGACACGGTTGTTAGGTGAATCTGGCTTCCCCACTGATTTTGCTTGTCAGATGGTCACAAAAGGAGGTCATGGGACATTGCAGCCATCATAAATACGAGTCAGTGGCCAACCGGCCAAATTTTGATCACGTGACCGTAATTTCATAAACTCGAAAAATGATCCCAAGCCCCTCTTTTCAGTGCCATTGTAGCTTTGGCCACTAAACAAACCATTGTAAATCAAAGACTACCTCTACTTTTGTCTAAAGTAAATCTACACTTTAAAAAAGGGTTCAGAGGAAGGATGATTTGGTAATTTACTCCTTCCTGCTCTTTCTTTCTTTCAGTATTTTTCTCAAGAAAACGTGGCCGAGAACCGCATCGGAAAGCTTTCTCGTGGTGGTTTTCCTCAAAATCGAAAGAAATACTTCGTGCTAATCTTTTTATAAAAACGTCCTTTGGTAGCAGCCAGAAGGAACGTCTCTCCTGTCTTCCTGTTTATCGAATATGTACTATGGAACATGCTGGAGAATATGAAACGCGGGCCACGCCATCACACATGTACCATGTGGAGAGACAAGTATACAACCAAGGGATCCTGCATGAGCAGCTACATACGAAGGACAAAACAACTCGGTCCCTTCATCAGAAGATAGCACACTCTCTCCGGTAAGACATGAAATCTCCTTAGTTTCATTAAATGGAACAAGGTGGCCATTCTTCAGATGCTGTTCAGGTAGTCCTCGACTTACAAATCATTGAGTGTATTGTTTGAAGACACAATATATCAGGGCTTCGGCAGTTACCCCATTTAAATCATGAGTCACGAGCCGAACTTCCAAAATTTAAAAGATTTATTAGGAGTAAACATGCCGGCACTGCCTGGGTGTAGCCGACTCTGAGCCGACTCTATTCAAGTACAGCTCTGCCATTAATATTAATAACAATCTTTTACATTTCTGTTTCATTTAACAAACATTACCTAGTAATATCCGTTGTCTTTCACTTTAATCATCTATATTTCATATTTTACTTATTACTGTCTAATAAACAATAGTTATTAACAGTAGTCAGTAAAGTTATTATTCTTATTCAAGGTCATCTTGTCATCTTGTCCATCTTCCATGTTTCTTTTCAAAAAAAAATTTCAATGTTCTTTTTAAATCATTGAGAGCCTTATTCTCTTTACAAACAAATATTCCACTACACATCAATAGAAATTTTGTTCTATCACTTTAATCATCTAACATATTTTCTTACCCTTTTCTATTTCTAATATAACAATGCACCCTTGCAGAATCCTCTCCTTAAGTTAAATTTTAACCATTGTCTCTGTGTCTTTTAGATAGGTTTATACCATTAATTCTTGTACGTTTTTCCTGTACCTCTATATCTTGTTTCAATCTTTTGTAGCTTCTTTTCCTTTCCCTCTTCCCTCTCTTCTTCTCCCTCCCTCTTTTTATTCCCTTTTCTATCTGATTCTCCCTTCTGTGATCCTCCCTTCTGCTTTTTCCTGATATTATGATTACTTTTCAAATTACTCTTTTTTTGGTTGTTGCTTCAGTGCTTAAGTTTTTAACTCTTTCCCCCCTTTCCCTTTTTTGCCCTGCTTAAAATTGCTTGGTCATTAAAGATGGCTTCTTCGTTGTCCCGCCCTTCTTGTTCTGCCAGCGTTTCCTGTTGTTTTTCATAGTTCAAGAGCTCCATTTCTAAAAAGTGAAATACGAAGCCAAAAGATCCTCTTCTTGTGCTTCTTCTTTTTGTTCTTTAAGTCTCATTTTTAACTCTTCAAGGAATGATGCCATTTTTAAAAAATTTAAACAACCCGCCAATTGATTTTATTTTATTTCATTAGGATCCTCCATCCAAAGTTCCAGGAATCATCCAATAATCCAAAACTGTTTCTTGCTTCTTTTCTCACTTTCTCTTTCCAGGGTCTTTGTTATCTTATAACAAAGTTTCAGCTACAATGTATCTTTTGCAAGTCTTGTTAAAATTCCACTATCATTTTTTTTTTTTAAAGTTCCAGGTGGTCTCTTCCATTTTCCATTTTCCAGATTCCACCCTCTTTTTTCCTTTTTCCCTCTGCTGCTTTCTTTCTTTTTTTAAAGAAAGTTTTTAAATTATCCAAGAATCTTTATCCCTTTAACACTTTATTTTCAGCTAGAAATAGCCTGTTAATGTCAAAGTGGATTAGTATCAATTTCTTATTCGAATCTCTTCTTCTTAATGTTCCAAGTCAGTTTAAACTGTCAATGTTAGAGGAAAAAAAGCCAATTCCGTTTCCTTTCCCTTTCTCTTTCGCAGCTTAAAATCTTTTTTAGGAATAGTATTAGTCTTTAAAATTCAGGTTCCAGGTACCTTAAATAGATGTTCTCCATTCAACCCGGTCAGTCAAATTTTCTCCTTTAAACTTCCTCCTGCACAATCTTGTCTGGTCGGGTTCTTCTTTGAGGTGGCCATTTCTGACCACCGCTGCAAACACCTTTGGGAAAAGGGAGTAATGGCCAGCCGAGGAGGAGAGATGCGGCTCTCCTCAGTCCCGCTGATGGCTCCCCCTTCTTCACCACCTCTACGGGGTAGCTTCAGCCCCGAATCCGGGCGGCTCAGGGTGCTCCAGCGGCAAGCACAAATCAAATCTGCGGATGATCGTGATTTGGGTCCATCGCCAAAGAAGCCCAAACCGGAAGTCAACAGACTCATATTTATGACGGTTGCAATATCTCAGGGTCATGCACTCACTTTCCCCAAGTCCAATACGGAAGGCAGAGTCACTTAACAACCATATGGTCCATTTAATACCTGCAGGGATTTGCTGAACTTGTGGCAAGAAAGATCATAAAATGGCTCACAGCTCAATGTAACAACTGCTATTCTTAGCGGTGAAAATTTGGGCTCAATTGTGATTGTAAGTCAAGGACTATCTATACCTGTGATGGTGAACCTATGGCACGTGTACCACATGTGGCACACAGAACCATTTGTGCTGGCACGGGAGCTACAGGCAAACTTACCTCACTGCGCATGTTCGCACCTCACAGTGGGTTTGAGGCTTTTTTCGGCCTCCCAAAGGCTTGAGAAAGGCTTCTGCAGGCTTTGCAGGCCAAAAACTAGCTCCGTTTCATCACTTCCTGTTTTTCTGAAAATACCGGAAGTGACAAAATGGGCCCAGTTTTTAGCCTGCAAAGTCTGCAGAAGCCTTCCTCAAGCCTCTGGGAGGCCAAAAAGGCTTCAAACCCACCGAAAATCAACTGTGAGATGCAGTACAGATAAGGGAGTGGGGGTGGGGGGAATTGTGCGCTTTGCCTTTGGGTGCTGGCAAGCGAGCACGAGCATGCAAGCATGTGCACAATTTTTGGCACAGGAGCCCAAAAAGGTTAGCCACCACTGATCTATACTAATATATTTTAACTGTAATCCAGAAATTGTAATTTTGCTTTCAAGCAGGTGTAAATATGGCCGTTATTTCATTGGATTTACCCCTTGCTTTATGTGCCTGGTTTCTTTTATAAATGCCATAGTTAGCTTACTCAAAACATTATACAGGCAGTCCTCGACTTACAACAGTTTGTTTAGTGACCATTTAAAGTTACAATGGCACTGAAAAAAGTGACTTAGGATCGTTTTTCCACCCTTGTGACCGTTGCAGCATCCCCATGGTCACAGGAGTTGCATTTGGATGCTTGACTGCCTCACATTTATGACGGTCTCAGTGTCCCTGGGATCACATGATCCCCTTTGGCAATCTTCTGACAAGCAGAAGTCAATGGGGAAGACCAGATTCACTTAACAACCGTGTTACTCATTTAACAACTGCAGGGATTTCATTTAAACAAATATGGCAGGAAAAATTGTAAAACTCCCTTCATAGATTTCTCACTCAGCGGCATAAATGTTGGGCTCAATGGTGGTCGTAATTCAAGGACTACCTGTTGTCTGATTCCAGCAATCGCTCTAATTAAAATCATGATTCTCAAGCCAAACCTCAACATACTTCAAAGGATCTATTAGAGGTGATGTGATGACCCAGGGAGTGGCACAAAAGCAACAAAGTCACAAAAGTCCCTTTAATACCTCCAACTTGGCCACCAATGTCCGGTTATCATTGGCTGGAGAAAACACTCTCCCAAGAATAGTTTTTAAAAGGAAGAAATTCAGTCCCAACCCAAAATACCTATAAATTATAAATAAAACTCAACACAAACCACGCTGCAGCAATTAACGAGACAGGGCAGGATAAGGAATTGCAGACTTCCAAAAGATAACGAAACACACAGTTGGATGACGCCAGAACCCAGATATGCCTCGACAAACAAACATAATGCACGCTTTGCTTCCAGCAACTCTGCTGTGCATAGTTTGCCTTTTTAAACAGTTTTCCCAGCTGCAGCTAATGAAGGAGATCGGGGCCCTTTTCTCCCCCGTAACCTCTGTAACTCACGTTGCTCCCTTCTCCGTTCCTCCCTGTGTGTCCTAGGATGAAGATGGAGTGGCCCTGGGTCTTCCTCTGAATGCCCAGCTGGACTGCGCCCTTCCCCAGTTTCTTCCAAAGCTCGACCTTCCCCTCAGAATCAGATTCCAACAGGGACATGACAGGCGACATACCAGCACCGCCCTGTATGAAGCCAACTCTGATATACATAATTTACAGTCCCCTGTGACTTGTTTCCCCCCTCCCCCTTGGGTGTGTCATAAACCAGATTCTCCAATTCTGCACGTTCACGGGCTTGGTGTCCACATTCACGTTCTCCAATTAATTATATTTGTGGGGAAAAGCTCTGGTATTTTGTTTACAATCTTTTAAAGATAAGAGTTGGAATGTACTTTCGCTTTGCTGCACTTCTCTTCCAGGTTTCCTTCCTCCCCGCCTTATGAGTTGACACCTGTATCTGTGGTAGGGGCAAATGTATTTTCTACAACTAATGTTTATTTTGGCCCGAGGCATCTTCTTCGTGTCTTTTGACTGACAACTTTTTTTTTTTTTTGCTTTGGATGCTTCCAGCTGTTCTTCCAAGAAAGCCAAATCAGTTCTCTATGGCTTTTTCCCGATTTTAACATGGCTTCCTCAATATCCTGTGAAAGAATATTTGATGGGAGACTTGATCTCCGGGATCAGCACGGGGGTCATGCAGCTACCTCAAGGTTAGTAGAGTTTTAACTTTGAAAAACAAAACCTTCTGTATCCTAAATCAGGAGTGTCAAAACGCAAAGCCCAGCGGCTGGATCTGGCCTGTGGTGGCCACCCTAGAAATAGTGAAGGACCAGTCCGCGATTCCTCTGCCAGTGCAAATTGAGCTTTGCTGGCAGAGGGTTGCAGGAGGCTGTCCCAGCTGAAAACAGAGCTTGTGAGGGCCGGGTGTGGGCACCCCAAGCTGTTTTCGTTGGCAGAGGATTGCAGGAGGCCGTCCCAGCCGGAAACGGAGCTCAGGAGGGCCAGGCTCTGACCTCCATTTTTGTTGCCAGAGAGTTGTGGGAAGCCGTCCCAGCTGAAAACAGAGCTCGCAATGGCTAGGCCCCGAGATACGTTTTTGTTGGCAGAGAGTTGCATGGGGCCATCCCAGATGGAAACGGAGCTCAGGACGGCCGGACATGGCCCCCCGAGCTCCCTTTTTGCTGGCAGAGGGTTGCAGGAGGCCGTCCCAGCCGAACATGGAGTTCACAAGGGCCAGGTATGGCTCTCCTGAGCTCTGTTTTTGCTGACAGAGTTTCAGGAGGTGGTCCCATCTAGAAACAGAGCTTAGGAGCCCATTTTCACTGGCAGAGGACTCGGGCCACCACAGGTGCCTCCCAACCCAAGTGACGTCATGCTGGCCATGCCCCCTGGCCACACTTCCCCGCCGAGATCGAACACAAACCTGATGCAGCCCTCAATGAAATGGGATTTGACACCCCTGTCCTAATTTGGGGGGGTGGGGTGACTTGCTGCTGATTTTCTTTACTAATTTGCCGGGTTACAATTCCCTGATCAACCAAAATTTCTGACTGGGGTTAAATAGGAACCCTAGTCCGACAGATTTCTCACTTTTGTTTAAGCAACAGGGTACAGATTATGTACAGTACAGGTAGTCCTTGGCTTACGACCACCACAGGCCCCCAAAATTTATGTTGCTAAGTGAGACATTTGTTAAGTGAGTTTTGCCCCGTTTCACCAGCCTTTCTTGCCACCATTGTTAAGTGAATCACTGCAGTTAATTTAATAACCCAGTTGTGAAGGGAATCTGTCAGAAGGTCGCCAGAGGGGGATCACATGAACCCCCCCCTCCGGGACACAGCAACCACCATAAATCTGAGTCGGCTGGAGGGGCGGAGCTGGCATTGCAACGATACGGCATGCGATCTTGGAGGTCTGAAATTGCTGCCGATATCTTTGCTCCTGGACGGTCCAATCGGATCTAAACTGTCCCGAAGAGACGGTGAACGTGAAGACCGCATCCTGTCGATCCCAGGGATACCGCAAAGTCCCTGGTAGATCCAGGAGAAGCTCTTTTTGCCAGCGGCAAAGAGGCAGCCATTAAAGCTGCTGAAGTTGGGACAGCTCTGAAACGAAAGAACAGAAAGAGAGAGTGTGCCGGTTTGGTGAGAACTTTTTCTTTATTTTAAGATTTGAAAGGACACCCTAAGGAAAAGGAAGAATCTGTAAAAGTTTTGACAGAAGTGATTAAGCGGCGATTTTAGAAAGGAATGTCAAAGTAATATTTATTTTTTTCTCATCGCTGGATTTTCTATACATGATCTTATATTTTGAAACTGGACTGGTTTTTTTCTCTTCTTTCATCTATTCTTTTTCTCCTTTTTGATTTTATAATATTTTAGGCTAGAGACTCCCTTTTAGTTATTTTTTTAAAACATCTTTTTCTTTTTTTAATTAATTCTTATTATATTTTGCTTGGAAAAGGAGGAGGAAAGTGAAAGCAAAAGAAACTTTGTAACACTGCCAACTAGAGGCTTGGAAATATTCTATTTCTTTTTCTTGACCAGACAAAGCTGAGAAAGAACTGAGACTTCTTTTCAAGGACATTGCTATTTGATAAGATAGAGGGAAGATCATGGGCGAGTATTATTGCAGGTGCTCTTCTGGGTTTCTGTCAACAGCTGGAGTCTGGTGTTGAAGCTTATAGGAAAACAAAAGGTGATAAGTCTCTGGAGAAGAGAGTTATAACAAGAGCCTTGGATAATTAAACAAAGTGCAGTGTACACTTTTGATTTTTTCTAAGCTGCGCTACCCCTCATCAGTTTACTTTTTGTAATAGCTATTTGGATTTTTGGCTCTTTGGAACTTGTCTTTGTTTTTTTTTCTTGTCTTTGGAAGTTAAATTTCTATGCTTGCTTTTTATTTTAAAGGAAAAGCTTTAGTATTAATGATTCCCTTCCTTTTCTTTTTAAGGGAGTAGTCTTTTTTCTCTCTCTCCCTTCCTGGTATTTTTGTCTTTCCATCTACCTTCCATATTGGTTTTTTTTTTAAAAAAAATCTTTCTGGCCTTTTTTTTTTCTCTTATGCATCCTTTTATATTTGAGACCTCTTAATTGGATTAAGGTGTTGAAGAACCTGAAGAATTTTTCCTTTCTTTTTTTAGCTTTTTATTCTTCACTTTTCCGCCTTTTTTAGGATTTTACAACTTTTTCTTTTTTGTGCATGTTTATGGTCTTTTCCTTCATTTTTGAATTTTTACTGTTATCTAACCAATCGATTGGATTAAGGTATACAAGAACTTGAAGAATTTTTTTCTTTTTTTATTATTATTACTATTTGGCTTCTTTTTTCCTACTATTTTTATTTGGAACTGCAATTGGTTATTTCACAATTGGATTAAGGTCTAGAAGAACTTGAAGATTTTGAATTGCTCGAAATGAGTAGGAAATTAACAGCTCCTGGTTCCTCAACTTCTACTTCTTCCTCTCCACCATCTGGAGGACAACGTTCAATACAGACAATGTTAAGGCAAGAAAAAGAACAAGAAAAAGTGACCCTGCAGATGTTTATGCAAGGAATTCAAAATATTCAAACAAGATCAGAGAATATTGAAAAGAGAATAGAGAACATCGAACAAAGAACAGGGAAAACCGATGAAAAAGTGGAGAACATCCAACAAATGATGATGAAGTATGATGAGAGACTCCAAAAAATTAAAGAAGATAAACAAAGAAACAAGAAGATTGGAGACATTGATAACAGATTAACTGTGGTTAAACAAGATAAAAGTGGTATGCTGAGATGGGAGATGGACAGATCAGAATTTTATCTTAGATTCCAAAACATAGAGGAAGAAAAAGGACAAAATCTAGCTGAGATAATGATAGAAATATTGGCTGAAGCTTTGGAAATAACTGAAGAGAAGATGATGGATAGAATAGATGAGGTCTATCGAGTCTTCACAAGATGTGCAATGAGAAATAGCTTACCAAGAGAAGCTCACATCAGATTTACAAAGAAAGCCATTAAAACATAAATACTGCAAGTGGCAAGAGAGAAAACATTGAAATACAAAGATAAGGAGATTGTGGTCTTGAAACAAGTACCCAGAAGAGTGAGAGAGATGAGAAGAGAATACCGATTCTTGACCAAATTGCTACTTAAAAAAGAGGTGCATTATAGATGGCTGATTCCAGAAGGTTAATGTTCACATGACAAGAACAGAGATATAGAATTGACTCAATTGAGAAAGCCGAATCATTTTACACAGAATTTTTCAGAGGGAAAGAGGAAGAGGCAGAAAAAGAAATTTCACTAATTGAATTCCAAGAGGACTGCCAAATGACAACTGAAAAAGAAGAAGGTGCAGTAGGTGGAAAGGAGGAAGCCAAAGAACAACGTGAACCAAGATCCACGAGAGCTGTCAAACCTAACTACAAAATATAACCATGGAAGAGAAAAAATTGATTACAATTAATATAAATGGACTTAATTCAGCCGTTAAAAGAAGGAAAACCTTCCATAAATTAGAGAAATTAAAGTTTGATATAATCTGCCTACAAGAAGTACATATTAAAAAGCAATATGAACAATTGTTGATACAGCCAAAATTAGGGAAAATATTTACTTCTCTGACACAATGCAAGAAAAGAGGAGTGGTTTTATATATTAAAGAGACCATCCCAGCGAAATTTATTTATACTGATGACGACGGAAGAATACTAATGGTGGAAATAATGGACAATAATACGAAAACACTCCTGATTGCAATCTATGCCCCAAATGACAAGAAGAATTTTATAAAAAATTACATATGAAAATAATTGAACTAGACTATGCTAATATAGTTATGGGAGATTTTAATGGAATTGTAGACAATAAACTGGACTATACAGCACAGAAAACAATAAAGCAAAACAGAAAGACTCTCCCTAAATCTTTTTTAAAATGGTAGATGAAATAAACTTAAAAAATACATGGAGAGAAAGAAATGCTAAAACTAAACAATACACCTTCTACTGAAATAGACATTTATCATGGTCCAGAATAGATATGATATGGATGTCAACAGAATTGTTAACTAATATTCTTCTTCTTCTTCTTTTTCTTCAGCGTTTGTCTCGCGCTCGGGCGAGGTCCGCTAATGTCCTTGAGTACTGCTTCCACACCTCTCTGTCTGCCACGCGTGTCGGGTCTGCCTTCGCGATCTCTAGATCGGCCTTGATCGTGTCCATCCAGCGTTGTTTAGGTCTACCACGCGGTCTCGCTCCTCCGACAGTCACCTTCATTACAGATTTGATGATGGATTCTTCCTTGGCGCGGCTCACGTGGCCGAACCATCGTAGCCGGGACTGCCTCATGACCGTGGGGATGGGCACGACGTTGAACCGTCTACGCACTTCTTCGTTCCTGACGCGATCGAGTAGGGTGAGGCCTACCGACCATCGGAGCATTCGCATCTCCATTATCTGGAGTCTGCTTTCGACTTCTTTGGTCGTCGGCCAGCACTCTGCGCCGTATATGGCCACGGGGCGCACCACAGAGTTATAGATTTTCGCCTTCAGGCGCATCGGCATCTTCTTGTCACAGAGGACGCCCGTGACGGACTTCCATTTGCCCCACGCTGCATTGATCCTGGCTGCCACCTCAGTTTGTAATAGGCCTTCTTCCCCAAGAGTAGTTCCCAGGTACTTGAAGGTGGAGGCGCGCGGTAGCTCTTGCCCGTTCACGT